AAATAAAAAAAAAAACAAATTTACTAAGTATTAAAAAAAACTTATTAAACTAAAATTATAGAAGAACTAAATTAAGTGAATTATTGCCCAGATTCGAACCCGCACCTGCGCCCCCCTTTTTAATCGGCAATGAATTCGCACTCCATCTCTGCTGACGGCGCCACTCCTGCACTCTCTATCCCTTTCACTCCGATAAGGTCGCTACCTGCTGACCAAGCAAACACATATCAATCACATTTGCGAGTCTATTTATAGAATGCCAGCCCGAATGCACGCATTGGGGAGTGTGTATGTGTATGTGTGCACATGCATGGAGCAACAGCCAGAGCTTTGCGTTAAAGACCAAAAGCTTTTGCCAATCGACCTCACGTTTTCTTTGTGTGTTCGTAATAAATTTCCAGCAAATGAATACAATGAATGCTCCATTAAGGAATTCAACATTATCATTAAATACAAACTGCTTTAAATTTTGGCTTTATTATGCAAATCGATACTATTTTCTTTGATTTAACTTTTATATGCTATTTAATACATTTCATTCAGGGTTAGGCAACTGTAGCACCAAGAACTGAAGCTGGCTTATCAAATAACCAAATTGACTCACCTGTTAATGCGCATCAAGTGCCTGTTACATATAATTTAAGAGACTAATCATACCCCGAAATTTCCAATTTTCATTGAGTTCATCGCATTAAGAAAGTGTATATATGTATATATGTACATACGTTGACTATGAGCTAAATTTATTAACGCAACTCATTTCCGAAGCAACAACTATTTCATCTGCGGCATGAGGCACACACACACACACACACACACACACTCACACTCACTCCTGGCAATTGGATAGAGTGTTGATGCTGATCACTTTGCCCTGTCCCTGGCCTCAAGTGCTCATGTGGCTTCGCCTCTTTTCCACAGCACAGATGCAAGCTACTGCAAGTGCACGCAGAACTTTTCATTTCATTTTCTTCGACTTTTTTTTTTTGGCTATTTTTAGCATTTTATCCAGCATAGCAAGCGGCCTGACAATATGTTTTTAATTTGCATGGCAAACATTTTTGCCATTTTGCTGCATTTGCTGTACTATTTCTACGTGTTTATGCTCGCCCATGTTTGAATCGGGGGTGTATTCATTTTGATGATGCGTATAACACTAGCATACAAATATATTTGTGATGGATTTGCATCATTTGTTATCTTTAAGATGTCTTGTATGCATCTGTGGAGGGCGTGGCAAATGGGGTTTGAATTGTTAGCTTTAAAATATGGAAAAAAAAAAAAACAATGTATCTACACATTGATCTATAAGCTACAGACTTATAGCAAATCAGATCAGTAGAATCAAATCAAATACAGTTGAATCCGGTTATAACGACCCTCAAAGGACCGTCGGTATAGCCGAAAGAGACTTTAACCGTATAAGTTTGCTCATCAAAGTTTGTCGGAGGAACAGAATTTTCGTCGCAATAGCCGTACGAACGCTATAAGCGGAGTCGTTATAGCCGGATTCTACTATATATTGATATACATTCCACTATTGCTTCAACGGACGAGTATGACGGAGTCGATAGGTCTGACTGCAGCCTCTCTCAGCTGTCAAACTTGTTGGCGTGACGCAGGTCAGAAACAGGTAATTGTGATTTATAGCTATTAGCTGAGTAGTTAGTCGTGTATAACTACATCTATATCCATACATACATGCATATAATAAATATATGGACACGTGTGTGTGTATCCCTCTTGGTACATCCCATTACTATTTAATTGAAATTTATGTTTTTGGCAAACGCCGCCTGCTGGCGCACGCTCTGTTGCCAATAACAGCTGCAGCTTGCCTCAAGTCAATTCAGAAGCGTTTAACACTCGACATATAATACACATTTGATTATTTGTCATTTATATATATATAGACATACCCACATACATACATATGTATATATACAAAGTCTCTGCAGGCAGAGGCAAAGGAAATTGGCCACGCGCCCAAAACATTGCCATCTTTTCGCTTTTCTTTCGCTCGATTTTCTTTTTTGGCTTTTTTCGCACAAAGTGCGACAGCTTACATCATTGTTAAAATTATCAGATTGTAGACACATTTTGACATAGATGTCGCACGGCCACTTGTCCAGAAAAACGTTGGCACTAAGGTAAAGAGCAGCAGCCATCGTCAGACCATCGCCCGCGCTATGATCTCATTTTGGTCTGCTGCTGACTTTTATTGCGGATACTTTGGCTATGTGACAAACGAGGAGGCGGCTTGAATTTCATTCATTACGCACTTATATGTATTCTTATATATTATATAAAATATCTGTAAATCCATTATAGTTAACTGACAAATTATACAACCATGACATAACTTAAAATTCAATTAAAAATTTCTGAGTAAAAGCTTGAAATGATCAAATATTTTATTTTGAATATCATTTGAGTAAACAAAGTTTACAACTTTCCAAGTCTTTTATTTAATTGGTTAAATTATAAATAGAAATTAAATATATATTATTATCTATGTAAATATTTACACACATACTTATATTCAGAATAGAGTATTCAGACTTCGTTAGGTGGAAGAAGCTCTTATTTTCTATGATGGCTGAATGACGCGCGAAGCTGTCTGCGTTTATTAGGAAAAAAAAGCTTAGCCATTTCCGCAGACACATCATTTTTCCAATAATTTAAATACCCTCTAATAGACTCTTAAGAAAAGTGGATAGATCCGTATATCATCAGGGATATGGGTGAGATAATTCTAGCTTCTCTACTTCTACCTCTATAAATACCTATGTATGTGTATACATCTATACCATAGGCAAAGACCAATAATTATAATAATAATAATAATGTTAAATATCTCTTTATATGTTTATCCACAGAGAGAGTTCATAGTTTGTACAGGGTATTTTATAGAATAATTTTCTTATTCATTTCTATTTGAATAGGTAAGTGTTGTCAAAATATCTATATTTTCATATTAAAGCAACATTTTAAAGATAAATAAATAAACACTTAACAATTATCGCATCTGTTAAAAAATAAATAAAAATTAAATATAAATTGTTCATGCATTAAATTCGTCATCAATTTTTATTTCTATAGAAATTTATTCACGTGAAAATGATTTCCATTTGAGTAAAATGAATAAATTAAATGCTTTTATATTTAGAGAGGGTATATTGATAATATAATTAATATGTACATGTCAGAATCAGATTAGTTGACTTTAGTCAAGAATATGTTTATCAACCACACCATCTCTATACAAATCGAATTTTCAATTTTGAAATCTGATCAACTCAAACTTCAACTTGGACTCTTAGTGGATCATACAATGTGTTTATACGCAGGCGGGTATATAGGGCTGTCAAAATGTCAAATGATTGCGCTGACATGCGTGCCATGGTCGCAGCTAGATGCAGTTGATTCATTTGTCCCTGATTTGTTCACATTTCTGAAAGGAACAACAAATTTTGGAAAAAGTGTCACTCTGTCACTCCGTGCTCCATGCGTCGGCCTGATCGGGTAGTACTACAACTATGACCTCTTGACATTTTTACAACCAAACAACGGCCGCAATGTCGCACATGTGCGACTGGTTCAAAGGTTCGACACCAAATTGACTGTATTTATAAACATCTCGAACAGCGACAGCAGAGAACAAGAAAAAGACTATTTTACAAGCAGCCGAACGAAACTGAACGCCCCCAAAATCAATTTTAATTATTCAATTTTTATGGGAAATTTAAGGAAAATTCGACTACTTGTTAGGCAGATTTATAGACATACATACATATGTGTACAAGACAAAATATATTTATGTAAGTATCATGACAATAGTGAAGTCCCAATTGGAACAATACTTTTGATACCCTATAATTGGATTTCTTTGATTTCATACAACTCGAAAACCCTATATGCTACTGACTGGAATTTCGAAACATATATTTTTATATACCTTACAGGCTAACCATTTTTAATTTTCTTCTAATATTTCATTGCATTATCATAGTATCGATAAATATAATATGAGGAAGTTTGGTTTTTGGCGAATTGATAGAGTACTATGTAAGCTATAGATGTCAAGTACCTTCTTGTGGTGAATATAGAGTCTATAAATAATAATTATATTATAGTTACTTTTCTCACTTTTTACCAAAGTGATAAAACATAAATTTGTTTAGTAGTATTGGAGTCCCAAGTCTAGAAGAAGTCAACTAGAACTGAAGTTACTTGAAAACAAATTAGCCAAAGTGAGTCAAGACAAACTACTGCCTGTATCTATGTGTATATGTGCAGTGAATTCGTATTATTCATAGCTAGCCCTATTCAAAATGTTATGGGCAAGTCGATCGCAATACAAATCAATATCTATTAGATGTTTAGTTTAGTTTTAGTTTCTGTATGGAATACTCGATAAGCCAGCAAAAAGTTCCCACGCAAAATAACAGCAACCARATTTACGACTTCATCAAATGAGAAAAATATTTACTAGTCAAATGTCTCCCTAGTCGAGGATCGATCGATAATTGGGAGCGGAAGTCCCTCGTTCATTCACAGCCCTTTCAAATTAAAGCAACAAAAAGACAAACAAACTGAAGCGCTGACATTGCCACATTCGGAGTTTTCAATCAGCTGGCCAATGAGGCGTACAGCTAAACACGCCACGGACTCCTCTACGGTAAACATATGTAAATCTCAGTATGTGCGTGTGTGTGTGTGTGTGTGTGTGAATGTGTATTCATAGTGTGTCACAGGCATAAATATGTGCATCATTAACACCTCGGTAATAATATGGAACTGGGCTTAGAGGGTTGTGAAAGGCTTATGAAATGTTTTAGCTAACGAGTACTGATGGAAGCAGTGAAAGTAATTATTATACTTCTTCATATGAGCAATAGAGTATATTGGTTTAGAGCATTAATTTTCATTCTTTAATAGTTTTAAAATATTTTAAGTCCGAATTCAAAACATCTAGGAACGTGGCAGTCGTGCACTACCGACTGCTGAATACACATTCACTACCCAAAAGCTCTTAGTGGGTGGATCGGGTGAATACCTTGTAAATACAGAGTGTATATTTCAAATTTCTAATTTCTAAACATTTCACATTCCAGAGCGAGAAAAACATATAAAATATAAATTTTTAACACAAATGTTCATTTTATTTTGCAATTTATAAAAAGTATAAAAAATGTATAAAAAAAAAAGAATCACAAAATAGATAATATAAAACTTTTCATCGAAATTTAGTTGTTACCGAAAACTAATTTTGATAAGCACTAGCTTAGGGTCGTACTTTGACCATAATCTCAATTTTTCTTCTTGCCAATAATAGAAATACTTTCTCCTGACAGCTAAGCGGAAACAGACTGTGAAGAGGATGGAAATTAATTGAAATATAAATATTCTGTAGAGATTTTATCCACTTCAGAGACTTACTGTAGTAGACGATATAAGAGGGAGACGAAATCGGGCAAAAAGATTTCACGCTCGTTATTTAGAATACCCTTAACGATACTACGGGCGGCACTGGCGCCTCTGATGAGAGGATAAAAATCGCTGAAGTTAACCATTTCATTCAATTCGCAGACTTCTTTGTTGGTTTGAAGAAACCAGGGCAAAACCGTTAGCACGTGGATGTTTTGCTGTTTCTCAAAGGCCAACTCCAGGCGCAGCGCCCTCATGTGATCTGTGACCCCAAACTTGGTGGAGCAATAAGCGCTGTTATAGGGAAAGGGCAAGATGCCTAAAATCGAAAAAGGAAAGGATTCAATTAAACATATCATATCATATACAGTTAGGTTTATGCTTACTGCTGCAGGAGCTTATGCTGACAATGTGCCCCTTGTTCAGCTCCTTCATTTGGGGCAAAAACAGTTTTTTTGTCTAGGTGGAAAAATTGAAAAAATATTATTTTTATATCATATATAAAAGGTGACCAGATAAGAGCAATTTCAATCAAAGGAATATGATTCGATATATTATATTCTTACTAACTTGATTTTAAAGCTAGTTTCATACCAATTTAGAATTAGTGTAATAAAAGTTTTGGTAGAAATTTAAACCATATTATAGTAGAATCCCGAGAATTCGAAATGGCAAGGGGATCCGTTATTCATTATTGAGAACGAACTTTTTTCAAGGGGGTAGAAATTTTTTCAATTTATCGCGATTTTCGATTTAACGGCTGTATTATCAAATACCAAATCTAGCTAGATTTTTGAATATCTGCYAAAATATACTCATCCCAAATATTATCACTCTTGCTTTGTCAMTCTTCACTTTACTTCAAATATCGCTAAGCTCACCCAAAAATGAGATGAGAAGTTGACATCGATCATGYGCTGAATATCMTTGGGATCAGGATCCATGGGATTGTCGAGCAGCAGAATTGCAGCATTATTTATTAATATCGTTACCGGTCCAAGATCTTTCAGTATAYTCGATTTCAGCTCACTCAGCTCGCTATAGCTAGCCGCATTCACCTGGAGAGTTGCTAAAATAATTTCTGATAGCAAAAACAAAGTCTATATTGTGTACCTTATATGCCTTGCTGCGCACCGGGAAAGCCTCATTGATTTGTCGCACTGTTTCTTCAGCACCCTCCAAATTAATATCAGCTATGGCTATATGACAGCCCTGCTTAGCCAGCTCTAGGGCTAGCGCACGTCCAAGTCCATGACCAGCTCCAGTTACCTGATGGATAAATACAATTATTGTAATCATTTATACCCTATACAGGGTAGGCTGCAGACCCCATTGTAGGCATTGGTAATAAATAAAGAGACAGGATACACAGGGTAGAAGATCATACCTTTCCTGTGTTTATTGTTATACAGAGTATACTATGTAGCTATTAATATATTTACTCTATCAGCTAGATCTAAATCCCTAAAAGCGGTTCAAGTTTCACATACAATAAGAGCTCAGATAAAATTTGCTTCAAATTGATCAATATTTTAATATAAATTGAAATCAAAGTTTGACTTTTTCAGATATTTCAGGCACGTTTCAAGCGCCTGACTCACCAGAGCTCATATACAAATTCTTCTCAAGTCTTAACTTGTATTATAATTTGAAATCCGTATAAATTTTACTTGCAAAGAAAAGAATGAAGGAATGATCACAAACATTGTGAGTAATGCGATTTTGAATTATCTCTTCAAAATCACCAGAAAATTGCAGAAAAAGACAAATGGTCAATCCAGAGTGAATGACCAGAAACATTCGCTAAGCTGTGCCAAACCCAGGTAAATTTCGAATGTCTGAACTCGAATATCAATATATAAGGTAGAACTAKACGTAGTCCTAGAGGCAACTCGTTATCTCTCGCTAATAAACCAAAGTGCATAATTGTTTATTATGCATGCGGTGATCTGGCATTGATCTGTGCTCTTAAATGTTGTTGATATTTTGTATTCTTTTTGCCTCGATAGGTGTGTAAGTGGCTTAGAAACAAGTGTTATTCACCTTAGAGTCGACTTATATATTCTAGCGTATATACTGTGAGTCTATTAAAAGTATATATACTATAATATAACCTAACTAAAAGTCGAGTGTCAGACTTTTGAGCCGAGAAATAAATGCACTCTGTAGAGTGCATATGCGTGTCAGTGTCGTGTCGGATCGTCTCGATCTCGAAGGCTATTAATGCTAGAGGAATGAATCTTAACATGTATATTCCCATTTAAAATATATTACTGAATTTATTATTGATCTCAGCCCATTATTTGACTATGGATCAAAACCGAGATACTACTTGAAGAGAGAGAGAGATCCTTGGCCAAACCAATTATAAATGTTTTTAATTTGGTATGCCTTACCCTAGTCAGCCATAATCTCATATGATTCAACTAGTACAGTCTGGAAGTTTACTAACTCAGATATTTCAATGTCAGTTGCATGTACGGAAAGTTGAAAATGGTATATCTAACTATGGAAGCTATGCGAAGAAGAAGAGCAGCCGCGGCATATGAGATCGTGTCACTTATCTATGCAAGAAGTCAGGAACGATTATAATAGTAGCTCTGCATGAAGCTCATGCCATGGGTATATCACAGTCACTCGCATCCGA